CACATGCTGCCCGGCAGCTGCACTGTCCTGCGCTGCCGGCACTTGGCAGTGTGAGAGAAGAACTCTCCGATGCCTTCGCTTGAATTCATTCGCTGTGAACGCTTGGCTTTGCTAGCTTTCCCACTGCCTTATTCTCCATCTCTAGATCTCTAGATCTCTGAAAGGAAGCTGCAAGGAGAAGCATTCACCCCAGTACGCCCTCTCAGGGAGGGGCCTCTCCTTGCAGAGATGCGATGCTTTTGTTGCCACTCAGTGTTGCTCACAGTCGATTTATGAATGTGATGTGATCTAACGTTTTCACTCACATTTCAGTTGTTGTCTTAGAGATTTCCAGTATGGGTTTCTTCTTCTTTTTTTTTTTTTTAAGATTTATTTTATTTTCATTACAAAGTCAGATATACAGAGAGGAGGAGAGACAGAGAGGAAGATCTTCCATCCGATGATTCACTCCCCAAGTGAGCACAACGGTACTGCGCCAATCCGAAGCCAGGAGCCAGGAACCTCTTCCAGATTTCCCGCACGGGTGCAGGGTCCCAAAGCATTGGGTCGTCCTCGACTGCTTTCCCAGGCCACAAGCAGGGAGCTGGATGGGAAGCGGGGCTGCCGGGATTAGAACCAGCGCCCATATGGGATCTGAGCGCTTCTAAGGCGAGGACTTTAGCCGTGAGGCCATGCCGCCGGGCCCCCAGTATGAGTTTCTCAGAATTTATTTATTTATTATTTGAAATGCATAGTTGGAGAGATCTTTCATGCAGCGTTCACCCCCCATTTGGCCGCAGCAGCCAGATGTGGCTGGTCCAAAGCCAGAAACTAGAAGCTTCTGTGCCTCCCATCTGTGTGTAGAGACCTGAGGACTTGGACTGCCCTCTGTTGTTTTCCCAGATCATAAGCAGAGAGCTAGATCGGAAGTGCAGCAGCAGGACTCAAACCAGTGCCTGTGCCAGATGCCATGCTGTAGGTGTAATCCTGACCCGCCACACCATAGCACTTTGTTTTTTTAAGATTTATTTATTTTTATTGTAAAGTTAGACATATAATATAAAGAGAGGAGGAGAGACAGAGAGGAAGATGTTTGGTCTGATGATTCACTCCCCAAGTGAGTGCAACAGCCGATGCTATGCCGATCTGAAGCCAGGAGCCTCTTCTGGGTCTCCCACGTGGGTACAGGGTCCCAAGGCTTTGGGCCGTCCTTGACTGCCTTCCCAGGCCACAGGCAGGGAACTGGATGGGAAGTGGAGCTGCCGGGATTAGAACCGGCGCCCATATGGGATCCCAGCATGTTCAAGGAGAGGACCTTAACCATTATGCTATAGCGCTGGGCCCAGCTGTTGGAATTGGAAGAATTCCTTTGCTGTGTCAAATTGTCCAGGAAACTTTGTGAAAGTAAGATCTGGCTAACCTCATCCTTCATTTGCATTTTTATAGCAGTGTACACCAGCTAATGTTGCAGAAGTCCACCAGGGGAATGTCATCAGCTCTCAAGATTTAACAGGTATGATGCGTGTCAGGGTGCCTGCTGGTGTGACTTACCACCTCATCTAACTAGGCAGAAATGCAGAACAGCATTTTTAAGTTGACGGCAGGCTTAAATTCCATTTGGGGGTCCCGTATGGATGGCAGGGGCCCAGGGACTTGAGCCATTGTATGCTGCCTTTCCCAGCGCAATAGCAGGAGCTGGATCAAAGGCAGAAAAGCCCGGAGGTGAGCCGTCACTCTGATGTGCAATGCCGCTCAGGTGGTGACTTAACTTGTGAAGTGGCACACTAACTCACCCACCATCATTATTTTTTGTGAAACCACTTTGTAAGGGGTGTGAATATGTGATGTGGTTTTTTTAGTTTTGGTGATAGGTTGTCATAAAATTATTTTTTAGAGATGAATGATTTGTGTTATTCCATGACTCAGCATAACGTTGTTAACTTTGTAACTCCGCTAGGCTTGATGGCTGCTGACATCCGTCAAGAAGACGAGCAGGCATTCATTCTGACTCTGGTGGAAATCCCAACCAGCGCAGCCGCAGAATTTACTGACACCACTGCCCAATCAGTGCCAGCCTCCTTGCTGCCAGCACCCATCTTGGTCAAGTCAGCGAGCTCTGAAGAAAGGGCTGACGGGAGGTAATGAGTGACTTGTTCTGGGTGGCAGAAAGGGTCTGTGTGAGCAGAACAGTGGCAGTGGAACAAGGTGCTAACTAATATTATTTGTCATTATTCTGTTATCATAATTAGTAATTGTATAAAAACAAAGGAAATGCAATGTAGGTGGTTTTATACCTGTTAATAGTAAAGTCATTTTATTTTTGATGATATTTACATAGTTGAGAGGAGTGCATGTCCATGTGGACCATGATTGATGGGGAGGAGCGTTGAGGAATGGGGGAAGTGGGTGAGACAACTGCTTCCGATGTTTTTAAAGGATACCATTTATTTGAGGCATAATACCTGGGATATCAAACTTGTGTGTTATTTTTAGGTATCTTGAAGTCTAAAATGTGAGTAGTCTGGATCATAAAATGATACTTCGGAGAAATAAATGTCTGTGTGTTAAGCATATTTAAGCATACAAAATTGAAATAGATGTTCTTGGACATTCCTGACGCTTGTGTCTTAATTCCTTGTTGTAGATGTGTTACACATTTTAACCACCATTGCCTATGATACTTAACTATCTATCAGGTAACCCTAGAAATTGAAGCCCTTCACCTCAGGATGAGACATTTTAGGTTTATTTAATTTTACAGGCATGGACAACACTGTGTGCCTCAGATTTAACTCAGTCTTATGGAATAGGCTGTGAGCCTTTCAATAGGAATGAAACTTTATAACCAGCATTTGTGAATGTGCTCTACGACTATGGCCGTGTATATATGAATTAGGAAATTTGAAAATTTCTTTTGAATTTTCGTTGTAATGATTTATGTCTTATTCTTAGTAAGTTAACTTCTAATTTATTGATTTAGTATTTTTTATTTTCTGTGCAGTGTGAATTTACCGGTAGCGTCACTTCATCAAGGTGCCATGTGTTTACCAGTTTCTGGGAGAGATGGTTCTGAGAAGTCTCCTGCTAATTTGGATCTCACCACTAGAAAGAGGTTTCATTGCAGCCTTGAGGAGAGCGATCAGGCTCCCCCTGCCAAAAAGAGTTCACTCACTTCAAGAATTCTTCATCAAGAATACGCCTCTGGGGTAAGATCGAATCACTGCCGAATTAGCATCGCCGTACTGCAGCAGATCCTGGTTCTGTTTTCCTTCATTCTCTTTGAACTTTGAGATAGATACGTAGTTCTGACATTTTGCTCCATAGCTTATCCAGCCATAAGCCTTTGGTTCAGCGGCTACATCACTGCTTGGTGTAACTGCATCAGAAACAGAATCCTGGGATAAAGTCCAGCTCCTCTCCTCATGGTCATGTCCTGCTGATGCGCATGCCCGGACAGCAGTGCTGGCCGAAGTGTCTGGGTCTCCGGCGTTCACTCGGGAGAGCTACCTGAACTTCCAGGCTCCTGACGTCAGCCTGGCCCAACTCCAGCTGTTGAGGGAATTTAAGGGGTGAACCAGCAGATGGAAGATCTTTCTTTCTCTTTATGCTTTTCAAATAAAATAAAATTATTTAAAACCAATGAAACCCATAACAAACCTATGAAACCTAAATGGAATGAGCATAATTGCTTTAAATTAAAAAATAATCCAGGCAAAACTGGCTTTAGATTGCCTTATTTATTTATATGGAAGGCAGAATTGCACAGAAGGGAGACAGAGGGAGTGATTTTCAGCTGCTGGTTCACTCCCCAAGTGGCTGCAACAGCTGGAGCTGAGCTGATCCAAAGCCAAGAGCCAAGAGCTTCTTCTGGGTCTCCTACATGGGTGCAGTGTCTCAAGGCTTTTGGGCCGTCCTCGACTGCTTTCCCAAGTCATAATAGGAAAGTGGATGTGAATTGGAGCAGCTGGGACATGATCTGGCACCTGCATGATCCTAGTGCTTGAAAAGGGGAGGGTTAGGCAACTGAGCCATCGCCCTAGGCCCTGATTTCAGCCACTGCTGCTTCACTTCCAATTCAATGCTGTTGTGCCTGGGAAAGCAGCAGAAAATTGCCCAAGTCCTTGGGCACCTGCCACCCACCTGGGAGACCTGGAAGAAACTCCTGGCTTCCAGCTTTGGCTGTTGTGGCCATCTGGGGAGTGAACCAGCACATGAAGAGAATTGAGCCTAGGCACTCCCATACATATATATTTCTCCCTCTTTATGTATTTTTTTTTTTTCCCAAATAAATAAATCTTTTCAAAAGGATTTCTCACTGCCTGAGGGAAATATGAGACCATGTGTCTAAAGTTCTTGCAACAGTCGATTTGGAATCTCCATTCTCAAAGGGAGAATTGGAGACCATTGGTCCTAGGATGATAGTGGATGCAGAGCAGTGGTCTTTGCTTATCTGTTCGGGGTGCTGAGTTTATCAGAGCTGCCCTACTTTGTGTCCAGCCCCCTGCTGAGTGGATGGGAATGTAGTGGGTGATAGCAGAAGCATGTGGGAGGGACCCCGACAGCCCCCAGGATCCTGATGTGGCCTGGCCCGTCCCCAAGCTTGGCAGCCATTGAAGTATGCTAGCACATGGGGGATCTGGTTTTCAAATAAACAAACCAAAAAACCAAGTAATTATGGATCTTAAGGGATAATAATAATGAAATGTCATCCCAGCTAATTGTGATTTCTGTTGTGGCTGAGATTAAACATCTTTTCATATACTTAAGAGCCACTGGGGACCCTGGGATGGTTCCCAGGGCTGGGAGTGGCTTCTCCCTTTGTCTCTCACCTTCCCCCAGATACAGGAGGGAAAGACAATGTGGAAACAATGGTCTTACCCTCTTTCCTGTAAGTCTTGACCCTTTGAGCCCTAAGCAACTATGTAAAGATCATCCAAAAAAAAGCCTTTTACATTTTCTTCTCTGTGAAATGAGTTTTGGTGTTCTTTACCCAGTTTCAGCTGGGTTAGTTTTTTGTTTTTATGCATTTCCAAGTGTTTGTATTCTTGGGGGTGTCTGTGATTACCTACATGTTTTGTCCCTCTTGTGTCATTTACCTTTTGGCTACACTTCTTTTCTCTTAAGCATATTGTGCTTTAGTTTTTGTGTTTAGTTATTTATTTATTTGAAAGGCTTAGAGTGAGAAAGGCAGACCGATGCATCGTGGATGGATTGTCCATCTGCTGCTTCCTCCCCGAGGGACCCTCTGCTGCTGGGGCCAGGTGGACGCCGGGAGCCGTGAATGGGAACTGGAGATTCAGTCCTGATCTCCCACGTGGCTGACAGGGACCCGCGTGTTTGAGCCATCACCCCTGCGTGCCAGGCTGTGTGCTGGTTGGAAACTGAAGCTGGGAAATGAAGCCAGTTCCTCTGATGCCAGCCATGGGCATCCTGGCCACTTGGCTCAAAACCACTCCCTCATCTTCCTTAATAGTAAACACTTCTGCTGAATGTAATTTAGAATGCTTGGAACCAGCGCCATGGCATGGCAGGCTAAGCCTTTAGCTGTAATGCGGGCAGCCAACATGGGCACTGACTCTAGTCCTGGCTGCTCCACTCACAATCCAGGCTCCCTGCTAATGTGCCTGGGCAAGCAGTGGAAGATGGCCCAAGCACTTGGGCACTTGTACCCATGTGGGAGACCCAGAAGAAGCTCCTGGCTCTGGACCAGCACAGCCTTAACCATTGTGGGAGAGAAGCAGGGATGGAAAATACCTCTCTCTTGTCTGTCTGTAAACCTGCGTTTCAAATAAAAATAAGAAAGTCTTGAAGAAGAAGAAGAAAAAAAGAGAAAGATTGCATACACAGTTTATTTAGAAAGGCACACAAAATGTTTTTGTTTTCCGTAATCGAATATCAGTCCTTTCATGTGTGTCTTCTGGGGATTATACATCTTTGAGATTTAAGGTAAAATTTCTAGTTAATACTGTTGACTTGATTAGAATATTTTGGTAGGGAGTAAGACCATATTTTAAGAAAATATTTATTTTCAGCTACTTGTAAGGCATAGAAGCAGGAAGAGACAGAGGCAAAGACACCTTCCGTCTGCTGGTTCACTCCACAAATGCCGACAACAGCCAGGGCTCGGCCAGGCTGAAGCCAGGAGCCTCCCACATGGCTGGCAGTGTCTGCACACCTAGGACGCCGTCACCCGCCTCCTAGGATGTGGCAGCGGGCAGCTGAATGGGAGATGCCTACAGCTAACTGACACTCTTCTATGCGGTACAGGCATCAAAAGCAGCTGCGAGGGCCTGGCACGGCAGCCTAGTGGCTAAAGTCCTCTGTTTGCATGCACCGATTCACTCTCCAAATGGCTACAATGGCCAAAGTTGAGCCGATTCTTGGCCAGGAGCCAGGAACGTCTTCTAGATCTCTCCCACACGGGTGCAGGGTGCCAAGGCTTTGGGCCATCCTCGCCTGCTTTCCCATGCCATATGCAGGGAGCTGGATGGGAAGTGGTGCGCCACAGCCTGAACCGGTGCACATAAAGGATGCCGGCGCATGCAAGGTAAGGGCTTTAGCCATTAGGTTATGGTGCCAGGCCCCTGATATGCTTTATTTACTTAAAGAAGGAAGGAACTGTAATTTTACTTTGTAAGTGGATTTCTAATGACTTATAAATTTTCTCAAAACAGGTATGCTCAACGGAATTAATAAATGTTTTGGATGAAACAGGTAAGTGAAGTAAATTTTAACATTGCATTTTGCCGAGTGTTTCTGGATATATCTGATGCATTTTCCCCTGGGTGATTCCTTTATTCTTGGAAGTCCGTCTTGCTTTCACACTGTAATTATTAGGGAACCATAGGGGCTACAGAGATGTTCTTTTAAAAGTTCATTGACTGCCTTTTAGGACTTAGAAACTTGTGAATAAAATCATTTAAATCAGTGCTTACCTATACCTGAGAGTTCATTTAAAACCAGGGATCTTTTCAGGCTTAAGTTACCTACAGAGGCTCAAAAGACAGTTTGAGTTTTTCTTTTTTATAGGAATTGAAAAATCTCTCCGGGATATTAAACCTTCTAGGGGCCATTTCTCTTAGAAGTAAAACAGCTAGACATGTGTATCCTGTACTGTATGCATTTGTCTTCATTTGTGCTTTTACGGCAGTCTCTGTTAATCTCATCGTTCGTGTCTATAGCCATTGCTGACCCGTGCAGCCACGCTGCTGCTCTTGGCATCCAAGAGTGTTGGCAGTGGGAAGGTTCCGTAACCTCGGTGGTCCTCACGGGCCCACCTTGGCTCTCCCAGCTTGGCCCAGGAGGCTCGTGTGTGGCTGCCCTTTCTGTTCTCTTCCTGTCCTGTAGAGGCATTAGCGGGTCACAGTGCCCAGCATTGTCAACGAGTCTGTTCCATGCTGTCTGGAATTGGGTTGTTTTAGTGGGTGCTGGAACTCTTTGGCAATAGACCTTAAAAAAAGCAACTATTTTAAGGGAAAATGAAGTTTTTTATTTAACAAGAAATTTCTCTGTCTTGTGCTAATTAAATACTGTTCTGGTTCCCACTCCTTGCTGTGGAAGACGTGTTTAACTGTTTGGGCCTCTGTGGTTCATATGCCTTCTGTGCCCGTGGCCTTGCCCCTCTGCTTTGGATTGGTGGTTACTGTCTTCTCAGTCCTAGATTTTTAGAATATCATCAAGTTCAAGGAATATTTGTTTTTTGCTTTTGGTTGTTATTGTTTTTCAAGGAATATTTGTAAACAAAAGTTTTCTAGGCAAGTTGTGGTTTGAGCTTTGTATCTGAATGCAGAGCTGTTGCCAAATCTAGCAAGTTGTGCTATTTTAAATAGTTCCAGTAACTCAATTATAATTCAGCTTTAGCTTTTTACGGTAGGTTTGTTATAGAATGGCTTGCTTTTTTCCTTCAAATACTGCAATTAAACTGAATATGGTATTTCCCTGTGTGTGCTGTTTGCCTTTGTTTTTTTAAGGGGAGTCCTGTAAGGGTCGAGCTGGTTCCCCCTCCCCGGGAAGCTCAGTGCATCCAGACCCTGCAAAGGAACACCTGGAGTCAGCTTGCCAAAGTCTGGCGTCTGGAACTGTCAATGAAATCACCAGCCCACATGGCGAGAAAAGTGTGCCTCAGTGTGCTCGGGTTGAGGTGACCCAGGAAGAAAGAACAGATGCTGCCTGTGCGTCCCCGTGGATGGAGGACAAGATGCCTGCCACGAAACCGCCCCTGTCCAGGTACCAGGAGAAAACCTTCAGTAGAAGCAGCTTCCTCCCCCCTTCTCAGTTACGAACATGCACTGTAGGCAGCGACTACAACATAGGTGTATCTGTGAAGGTGAAGTCAAGCCCCAAGGGTCCTTTTCTAGAAACACAGTCCTCCATTGGCAATGGAAAGGGAGGAAGCTTCTACAGGGGGAGTCGAAATGTTTTGGCTGAATGTTCATTCCAGAAACCAGACTGTTCCATGATTCACTCCCCAAGTGACTACAACAGCCATTGCTGCGCCGATCCGGAGCCAGGAGCCAGGAACCTCTTCCTGCAGGTCTCCCACGTGGGTGCAGGGTCCCAAGGCTTTAGGCCATCCTCGACTGCTTTCCTAGGCCACATGCATGGAGTTGGATGGCAAGTGGAGTTGCTGGGATTAGAACTGTTGCCAATATGGGATCCCGGCATGTGTAAGGCGAGGACTTTAGCCACTAGGACATCGCGCCAGGCCATTAAAAAAAAAAAAAAAAGATGACTTGGCATAGCAATGAAATAAACCATGGTTTTCCCCTTGCAAGAATAACTGGAATTTAAGTCTAAAGCGAGTTCCTCCCACTTTGTTTTCCTCATTGTCACCAAGTGAGTTTTTGGACTGTTGATAACTTCCAGCTTAGCAGCAGCATCGAAGGGGGATATGGGAGTTGAAGTAGAGGAGGATGTATAATAACCTCCCGCAAGGAAAGTGATGAGAAAGGGCTGTAATGCAGGCAGGTGTATTTAATAAATTACTTGGTTATTAAAATTCCAAATAGTGAAGCATAGCAGTATTGTGCGTCTTGGGCAGTGTGCTGAAGGCAAGGGGCAGAAAGCATCCTGACGGGTTGGTTTAGGCTGAAGGCAGGAGCTTCCTCCAGCTCTCCCACGGAGCTGCTAGGGCCTCACTCAGCCTTTGGGCCGTTTTCTGCTTCCTTCCTGAGCTGCTCACCAGGAGCTGGATTGGAGGTGGACCAGCGAGGCTGTGAAATGGTGCTTATAAGGTTCTGGCACTGCAGAGGGCAGCTTCAGCCGCTCTGTTGCAGCGCTGACCCTAAGCAGTACTTTGCGGCTCCTCATAAAGGGTTTAACCTCCTCTTAACCATTTTGAGAGAAAGAAAAAAAAAAAGTACAAACTGGGACTCTTTGAAAGTCGCATTTTTTCTGGATGAGAGTCTCCTTGCCCCTGTCCTTCCCTTGGGTTCTGGCTTGTAACAGGCTGTCTGTTTTTCTAGCACACCTTTTCAAAAACAGATACACCCTGGTCCCATCTTTCTAGGCTCCAGATCTGCTCACACAGCACAAGAATAAAATCACATTGCCTGGCTAATCATAGAAGTGTGACGCGCTTCAAATAACTTGAGTTTTAGTTTTTGCTTTTCGGTTATGTAGGATTAGAATGGAAAAAGATACAAATATTTAATATTGAGCTTTAGAAGTGAAATCTATCATCTCTTTGTGTCTTGATACAGAGTATGATAATTTTTAAGCAGAGAATACAGAAGCTACTTGGCATTCAGAGGAAAAAAACCATATCTCCTTAGGTTATGTTTGACTAATGTTTTCTATTTTCCATTTTCAGACCTCACAGAAAACCCCTGGGATTTTTATCTTTAATATGTTCAAAAAAAACCAGTCTGGGGTCTGATGAGCCCGCTCAAGTCCACAGAAAGAAGCGCCTGAAACCTCTGATCCCTGCAGCAAGACAGAGTGTGAAGAGGTCTGACCCACCAAGTGAGATCCAGGAGACCAGGCAGGAACCCTGTGACGCTCTGCCAGCTCTGAGCATCAGTGCTGGGGCCCAGCATCGAGAGACCAGGCAGGAACCCTGTGACGCGCTGCCAGCTCCGAGCGTCAGTGCCGGGGCCCAGTATCAAGAGACCAGGCAGGAACCCTGTGACGCGCTGCCAGCTCTGAGCGTCAGTGCCGGGGCCCAGCATCAAGAGACCAGGCAGGAACCCTGTGACGCGCTGCCAGCTCCGAGCCTCGACGCCAGGGCCCAGCATCGAGAGACCAGGCAGGAACCCTGTGACGCACTGCCAGCTCCGAGCATCTACACCGGGGCCCAGCATCAAGAGACCAGGCGGGAACTCTGTGACGCATTTCCAGCTCTGAGCGTCTACACCGGGGCCCAGCATCAAGAGACCAGGCAGGAACCCCATGACGCGCTTCCAGCTCTGAGCGTCTACACCGGGGCCCAGCATCAAGAGACCAGGCAGGAGTCCTGTGACACGCTGCTAGCTCCGAACGCCAATGTTGGGTCCCAGCCTCAGGAGACCAGGCAGGAATTGCGTGATGCGCTTCCATCTCCAAGCGTGGATGCCAGAGGTCAGCCTCAGGAGACCAGGCAGGAGTCCTGGGATGCGCTTCCAGCTCCAAGCGTGGATGCTGAGTCCCAGCCTCAGGAGACCAGGTGGGAGTCCCGTGACACACTTCCAGCCCCGAACGCCGACGCTGGGTCCCAGCCTGAGAATCCTGGCGAGTCAGCGGCCCAGGTGCAGGTGCGTGATCCCTTCCCCAGGGTGTGCGTCAGATGGACCTCACTTCCCGCCTAACTGGAGGGAGCACTGTAATGGTGGCTTAGGTATCTGAAATGATTCCAGAGCAACTGGGTCTGTCTCTTCCCCATAATCCCCCAGCTGGGAGGGTAAGGTACTGGATTAGGAAGTGAAGGATGCTGTCGGACTGAACTAGCCCTATACACGACACAGAATTCATTCATTCCTTTCAGCTCGAGGCATTTCTGCCTTGTGGAGACAGAATGAAGCAGTGCTGTGTTTTATTTACCTTAGACCTACCCTGACACCTGCAAGGGTTTCAGGAACTGTGAAAGCTGGGTTGTTTGTATGTATCATTTTTGTGCATTTTTGAAGCTGTCCACAGTCAAGTATTGTGATGGAGAAGTGCCCACCTGTGTCAGAGACCGGAAAGATCCTGGTGTGATCCGTGACCTCGGCGAGGAGCAGGCCTTGCAAGTCACCTCAGAGTTTCTCAAAAATAGTCCCTAGAATTAGTCTGTGAGACCAAGATTTTATGAGTTTTCATTTTCATCATTATTATTATTTTTTTAAAGATTTCTCTTTTTTTGGAAAGGCAGTATGTGTGTATGTGTGAGAGAAATCTTCCATCTGCGGCTTCACTCTGAGTGAGTGCGGCAGCTGGAAGCCAGGAGCCCGGAGCTGCAGGGCTCGGTGTGGCTGGCAGGGCCTGCGGGCTTGCGCCATGGCTGCTGCCCTCCTGGAGGGAAGCGGCATCAGAAGGCATGCCTCGTTATTCATTGAATAATCCAGTTTTTCTTTCGCTTCTTTTGTTTGATGCTAAAATTCCACATATTTTGGGACGATTGCACCTCTTGCTTTTTGCCCATAAGGTGTGCATTTCTGTGCCAGTACCATGCTGTCTTAATTTTTTATTGGCGTGTTCCTTTTTGGTAAGGTCTCTTGCGTTGTTTCGGTTGAGTGATGATCTGTTACTGTAAGGAATGCTACAAAGGTCGTGTTAGTAGCACTCTCACTATGTTTAGGATTCTTTTCTTGATTTTAACAGTATGGAAATAAACTGGATGAATTTGTTCAGAAGTCAGAATTGCCGTATTGCTTTGGAAGCAGTTGAGGTGCAGGTGGCTCATCGTTGGCAGTGCGTGAATGTTGCATTGTATTCTAATTTTCACTGTCTCCTTAGGTGTCTTGTGATGAAGCCCCCCGGAGAGGGGAATGTCAGAGCGGGCAGCACGCGGCGCCTGCTGAGGAGCCGACCACCGTCTCCGAGTATTTCTTCAATGATATCTTCATTGAGGTGGATGAAGCAGAATGAGACAGCCTTGGGCCTTGTTTCTTTTGAAAAAGGCTGATATTTACGGACTGAATTACATCCACAGAGCAGTTTCCAGAGAGAGAAAAATCACTGTTTTTGGTTTAGATTGCTTTTGCCTGTTTGCTGAGCTTGGCTGGAAGCTTTTGTAATCGCTGGAAAGGATCGCTTGAGGCCCCTTCCTTCCGACTGAGCTTTCTCCGACAGACGCGCCCCTCGTGTTCACATGCCGAGCCCCCCGGTTCCGGAGCGTCACGTGGAGATCTCAGAGCCCCTGGCTGTGGGGTGGTCCTGTTTAGCTTAGTGAACTTCTTTTCTGAAGTTTGGGGTTTTTGATTTTTTTTTTTTTAATTTCCTGTGTCTGTTTTTTGAGAGCGTGATGAGGTCTTTGCGTTTGCCTCGGACTATCCGCAAGCAGATTGCGTAGCTCCACTCTAGTGTGGTAAGATGAAAACTGTGCTGTTGTCAGCTGTTTGGCTGACTGAAAAATATGTATTTTTCTAATTCGTGGTGATATAACATTAGTCCTAATTGGAGAACTAATATTTAAAGTTATTATTTATAAAAATGACACATCAGAGAGCTTATTTATTTTTAAATTTTTTATTTATGATGCTAGTCAGTCTTAATTATATCCACCCCTCCGATTGTGCGTAAGGGAGACATGAGCAAATTATGCCTGTTGTCTTTTCCTCTCTAATTTTAAAGATATTTAAAGTGATAACAACTGGAATGGATACTTTTTTTCTATTTAGTATATTAACTTTATACTGTGAATTTTTTTTTTTTTGGTTTATTTTTATTTCTTGGGTAATCTCAGGATTTTCATGGGTGAGGAAAACTTGATTTATCAGAGCAATTTCCTACACATATATATACACACACACTCCTTTTTTTAAAAAAAAAAAAATTCTTGATAGTTTTTTTTTTTTTCCCCATAAAATTCTGTTGCTGGAATACTTAGGAGTACACAACTTAATTTTGATGTTAAAAATAGAAACTAATGTCACAGTAGGAAATCAGTGATTATCACAATATGAATTTAAAGATTTTTAATTTTGAAATTTGATGATTTACAGATTATCAAATACAGTAGACCCTTGGCTGTTACCTGCCCAAACGGATCTTAGTGATTCAAGTCAAAACTATTCCAAGAGCAGACCAGTTGCGGTTTCATTGAAAGACGTCTTGGGTCGGTAACATTGGTTCAGGAGTCAGTCAGGCATTCATTAGGAGTTGGCAGCATTTCCTGCAGATTCGTTCGGGGTGTGCGGGCTCGCTGTCTGGGGCAGGGCGTGGGTGAAGGGCAGTGGCCGGAGTGGGCTCCGAGTCTGATCTAACCTCTCTGGTATTGACCTCACTGTGTCCTGGTTGTCATTGAAGTCACGATTTGTGCCTGAATAAGTCAGATCTGCTCATTGCATTATGAAATGATTAGATTTTTTAATTGAAAGAGTTTTTAAAATCTTCTGTGTTTTAAAAAAAAAAACAAACCTAGTAGCTGGTTTTCGAGGTGCTTGGTCAGTGCGTGGGCTCAGCGAGTATGACAGTATGGCTCATCTGCAGAAACGCTGTCAACAGAGTTTTTACTCATAGCCTTAGAGTGAAATTGACAATAACTTTTGTCGCAAAGGAGGATGTGTTAGTATGAATGGACATTCTCCATGGATGTACATGTATTTATTCTGTGCGATTAATATGTCACAAAAATCATGGAGTAAACCACAGTCCTGTTTTATAACTTGCTTTTGTAAGTTCTAAAAAAAAAAAAAAAATCTCATTCTGAAAGGATTTCCTTCTGTCTGTTAGTACTGAGTTGGATGTTAGGTTGCCATGATTACCGTCCCTGTGTAATGTTTATTTTTAAACTGTGTGCACATGTCCCTGTTCATCCAGAGTCCGCTATTTTTATGGAAGATAGACTTTCTTACTGGGTAGTGAACACACAGGGCATTCCTTGTATTAGAGAATCAAATTGGCCAGCTAAATTATCCTAGTTATTCTTAAAATGAGTCTTGGAAGAAAAGAAACAGAATCAGTGTATTTGCCTTGTACGATGGAAGGACACATGTATGCTAAGTCTGATTTCATGTAAAGATATTGCAAAGAATTTATTTTATAAATCTCAAAGGAGATACAATTACAGCTGTTTATCTTGCTTGTTCTTCCGGAACACTTAGGTCTCAGCAAGTGATGGGCATGGTGGCTTTAGAGCCCAGTGGTTGGTAAGTGACTGGGGCCCAGGTATAAACTTCCGTGTCCTCTGTGTACCACCTTGCTTGGTAGAGAAAGGACCTTGCATTCTGTCTCGCCTGAAGAAGTTTTTGACAAATAGATGCAGTATCTGTCATTTGTAAATTTTCTTGTTCTAAAGAAAAGTTATGTTCCATAGGTATACATTATGTAAATAAAAGTTATTTTATAATACTTTGGTTGTGTCTGTTTTGAACGGTTATTTGTGCTCAGTTAAGCAGGATCACTTACTGTTTTCAGGTGTACTCTTCCTTCCTTCTGTTTAAATACACCTGCAGGAATTAATTTTTATTCTTGTGTGTTTGCTGTGATGGAAGCTTCGCTCTTCTCCAGGGAAAGAATGAAGAACAAACATTCTCGCTGCAGCATTGGCATCTACAGAACTGCCTGCTTTTAATGTCCTCCTAGGCACATGAGCCCTGTGTTTTATTCCCACACCCCCCGCCCCATCACATAGTTTATTTTCTCTATAGAAAAAGACAATTGGGAAATCTTAGTCCTGCAAAGTGGACATTGATAGGATCTCGGCTGGCAAAAAAAGTTTAGTCAAGAGAGATGTCTGTGATGAGTGTCCTGATGGGAGACACGCAAGAACTTGGCCTTGGATTTTGTCAGACGATCAAAGAGCTACTCACATGGGCTGCATTGTCCCCATTTTGTCTGCCCCCTTTTAGGGGGCGTTATGACATATAGAAGTCTTAAAAATTGGGTTTTATTATAATCATGCAGACTTTGTTTACTGGTATCCTGTTTATATTTGGTTCCATTGCTGGGAAAAAGTGTGTATCTATTCAATTTTGTTTTGTTAATATATGGCCTGGGCTGTCTCACTCCTTGTTATTTCGTTAGATTGGACATGGTACTAACCCCTTATCCTTCTGGCTTAAGTCATTCTGCCCTTCAGGATGAGAAAGGTTTTGTTGTTTTAAATGAAATTTATTTATTTGAAAGAGCACCAGAGGGAGGGAGAGTGTGGACGTGGGCAAGGAGAGGAGCTAGTCCTGGCTGCTCTGCTTTCTATCCAGCTTCCCGCTAATGGCCAGAGAAAAAGCAGAAGATGGCCCAAGTTCCTGGACCCCTGCTACCCACATGGGCTTCTGTCCAACCCCGGGGCTACCCATTGCAGCCATTTGCGGAATAAACCAGCGGATGGTTCGCTTTCTGAGTGTGTGTGTCTTTCTGTAACTTAGTTAAAAAAAAATTATTTTTACTGGAAAGTCAGATATACAGAGAAGCGAGACAGAGAGGAAGGTCTTCCATCTAATGGTCCACTCCTCAAGTGTCTGCAAGGGTCGCAGCTGTGCTGATCCAAAGCCAGGAGCCAGGAGCCTCCCCCAGGTCCCCCACGTGGGTGCAGCGTCCCAAGGCTTTGGGCCTTCCTTGACTGCTTCCCCAGGCCACAAGCAGGGAGTTTTTTGTTTCTTTTCTTTTTTTTTTTTTTAAGAACACAGCGAATATTAATGAAAACAAGCACTACATACAAATCATTGTGACTTTCCCTTCTACAGGTGTGATTTTTAAGGCTCTCACATCATCCAAGCACACGGCCGTGCCAGCCCGTGCGTCCACCTGGGGAGTCACGCCTGGTGATTCTGGGGGCCACTGCCTCTCTCCCTTCGACCTACACGAGGCTTCCCCCCCGGGCACTCTGCTTCCGGTTCCTTGAACGTGTGTCCTGCATGGACCGTGCACTCCTGCATCCCGTGGTCCTCCCACCCTTCTTCCCCTGTCTCCTTTCCCTGCCCATTTCCACCCCTCGAACGCCAACTGGGGCATCCGGTCATCCCGGAAGAGTACTTCCGCCCAGAGTACGGGCCTGGAGGAGCCTCTCTTCCCTATTGGCTGCAGCAGGGGGCGCGGCACGCGGCGCTGACCAATCGGGCCTGGGCGAGGCCTGGGCTGAGGCGGCGCTTCCGGGATGCGCACTGCGCCTGGGCACCGGGCTGTGTCTGCCCGCCAGGGAAGCACCGGGAAGGGCCCCTCGTCTCCGGCTTGTCCTGCGCGGGCAGCTGCTCTCGTTCTGCACCCCCGTCGTGCTGCCCGCCGCCATGTGGGCCTTCCTGAGGGCCGCCCTGCGGCCCTGCGCGCGCGCCGCTGTTCCCGGGTCGCGCGCCTACCACGGGGACGCGGTGGCCCCGATGGGCACGCAGCTGGACTCGGGCTCTGCCCTCTACCAGGTAGGCTGGCAGGGCGCGCCTGCGGGCTGCGGACCACAGCTAAGGGAAGCGGCGGTCCGGACCCTGCAGCCGGGTCAACCGTGTCGGTCCACTCCAGAACTGGCCAGCCGGTCGCGTGGGCAGGTGCCTGCACTCCCCCCCGGAGACCTTCTGGACTTTGTCAAGCCCCTTGGTGAAGTCCGTAGGGACCTGGTGGGAGCAGCTTTGGGAACTAACAGGCAAAAACACTTTACTCCCGGACTGTGCATACCCAGTCTTTAAAAAGTGTACTATACTCACAGAACAATACTTGCAAGCTCCAAGAATCAAGTCACAGCTTTTTAATGATCAAAGCTGGTACATTCTTTTTCCTTTGGGAAGGATTTATTTATTTGGAAGGCAGAGTTGCAAACAAGGAGAGAGGGAGGGAACCTTCCATGTACTAGTTCACTCCCCTAACTGGTTGAAGCAGGTAGGGCTGGGCCAGTGTGAAGCCAGGAGCCAGGAGCTGCTTTTGGGTTTTCGTGGGTGCAGGGGCCCAAGCACTTGGGACATCCCCTATTGCTTTCCTAGGCTATTAGCAAGGAGCTGGATTGAAAGTGGAGCAGCCGAAGCTCAACCTGGCACCCAGATTCCCAGAATTTTTTTAAAAAAAGATTTGCCTATTCTTACTGCAAAGTCAGATATACAGAGAGGAGGAGAGATAGAGAGGAAGATCTTCCGTCTGTTGATTCACCCCCCAAGTGACAGCAACGGCCAGTGCTGCGTCAATCTGAATTCAGGAGCCAGGAACTTCCTCCGGGTCTCCCACACGGGTGCAGGGTCCCAAGGCTTTGGGCCGTTCTCGACTGCTTTCCCAGGCCACAAGCAGGGAGCTGGATGGGAAGTGGAGCTGCTGGGATTAGAACTGTTGTCCATATGAGATCCCGGCATGTGCAAGGCGAGGACTTTAGCTGCTAGGCCACGGTGCCAGGCCCAGTATTTGACAATTTGGATGAGGTTCTTTATGGAAAATTTCTCAATTCAAAATGGTCAGGTCTTTTGTCAAAGCAAAACAAAACCAGGGGCAGACACCGAGCCGGAACATTTAAGGATGCTGGTTAGGATTTCCGAGTCTGCACTGGAGTGAGTGGCTGGCTTGATTCCCAGCTCTGCCTCCCACTCCAGCTTCCTGCCAGTGTGGGCCCTGGAAGCAGCAGGTTGATGATGACTTGAGAGGCCTGGGTTGAGTTGCCGACTTCTGACTCCAGCCGGCCCAGCCAGAATAGACAAAACACATGAAGAATGAAGCCAAAGTCCTAGTCAGGGAGCCTAGGGAGGGAGGCGGGATGGCGTGCGAAGCATGGGGCCTTGACGATGGCTGCCCGCCCTTCCCATGCCATTCTGCATTTGTTTCTCATGGATGCAGAGACTTCCCACACTTATGGGGCACAAGGGACATTTCACTACATGTGTTCATGGGAGACACCAGGCGTCACATTAGAGGGTTTCTTTCAGCCCTGGCGTTAGTGTAGTAACAGAACTGAAGCATAAAGCAAGAGCCTAAGGCTGCTTTGTTCCCACTTAGCAGCCGTGTTTTAATCAGCATGTTTGCTCCCCAACAGAGGGAGCGCAGCGTGCGGGGAGCCTGGGCTTGAGGCCAGAGTAGCTCGCCTGTTCCTGAGCCGTCAGGTGCTGGCTGCAGTCCTGGCTCAGGAGAACATGGCGCCTGGTGGGGCCAGGGCAGTGGCTCAGCAGGTGAATCATCAGCTTTGCAGCTTCGGCATCCCAGGTGGGTGCTGGCTCTAGTCGCGGCTGTTCCACTTCCGATCCAGCTCCCTGCGTATGGCCTGGGAGAGCAGTGGGAGACGGCTGCAGTCCTTGAGCCGCTGCCTGCATAGGGAAGGCCCGGAAGAAGCTCCTGGCTGCGCACAGCCCCAGCTCCAGCCATTGCGGCTGTTTGAGGGGTGAGTCAGCGGATGGAAGATCTGTCTCTCCTTCTGTCTGTAAATCTGCCTTTGGCATCAGATGTGGGGACAGGTGTTCCGGAGCCCTGCTCTGGTACTTGGGTTTGTGTGTCAGGAGCCATTGTGCTCACAGGGCCTGTGTCAGGTGACGGGCACACAGGAGGCAGCCTTTAAAGGCAGGCAGTGGTTTCCCCTGTGGGGCCTCAGGCCAGCAGTTCTGAATGGCTGCCTTGCCAGTGACACTGCGAGTGGCCCTCAGGCCACCTGGTGAGGATGGGTGCAGTGGGCATGTACTGGCGGGAAGTTCTGCTTTCCTGCAAGGCCCTTCAGAGGCCCTGGGAGGTTCTGTTCTTCCTGCAGGTGGACTGGGCTCCTGTCTCGTGGACTTAAAGGTTTACTGTCAGATGGGCCAAGTTCTTGGTTTCCCTGACACACAGGCAAGTCCTGTGGCACGAAGGGGGGGTTTGCGCCACACTGAACTGAACCCCCCTTTTCCAGTACATTCTCAATTTGCTGACTTTTTTTTTCTTTTTAAAAAAGATTTACAGATAGGGCCTGTCTAGTGGCTACAGTCCTTACCATGTATGTGCTGGGTCCCTTATGGGCGCCGGTTCTAATCTCAGCTGCTCTACTTCCCATCCAGTTCCCTGCCTGTGACCTGGGAAAGCAGTTGAGGACAGTCCAAAGCCTTACGACCCTACATCTGTGTAAGAAACCTGGAAGAGGCTACTGACTCCTGGCTTCAGATTGGCTCAACTCCGGCTCTTGTGGCCACTTGGGGGGAGTGAACCAACAGCAGAAGATCTTTCTGTCTCTCCTTCCTTCTGTAAATTTGCCTTTCCAATAAAAATAAATAAGCCCTCAAAAAAAGATTTTTATATACACATTTTAAAGATGTATTTATTTTTATGAGAAAGGCAGATGTACAGAGAAAGAGGGAAGGAGAGATAGAGAAATCTTTCCATGGCCACAGGCAGGCAGGTGGATGGGAAGTGGAACAGCCAGGACACAAACTCGAGCCTGCCTGTATGTGATCTAGGCTCTTGGAGATGTAGGGTTAGCCAGT